AGAGAGTCCGTTCGGCGGCCGGGGGGGGGGGGGGGCCCGATGCACCACGGCCCGGGGGGGGGGAAGGGGCGCCCCGGGGGAAAGGGGCGACAAGTCTGCGGCGCTCGAGAGAAACGCAAGAGCTTGCCTCTTGCGGGAGCGCGACAAAGACAGCATTCACGGTTCCCGTGGGAGGAAGGAAGACTTCCCGCGTGCAGGACGAAAACAGAAATACGGTTTGCGCGGAAACGAACGAGACGGAACGGCCAAGACGAAGAGCGGGAATGCGTTCGGTGACCAAATGACGAAGACGGATGCAAGGTTCGCGAGAGAACGGGAAAGGACAGAGGCGATCTACCGTCGGCGCGACAAAGGTAGCGCTATCGCGTGAACACGCCGATCGAGACTGTGTATATGTATATACATATATATCTATATATATATTATATATATATAATATATATGCATGCATATACGTGAAAGAGAGGGAGATGACCGTTGCAGTAGTGTACGCCTAAAGTTAGGTCCCTGGTTCGCTATATATTGCGAGCAAATCGTAGGAGAATGTTGCTCTATTAACATTTTCGAAAGTCTCTTTTTGGATGTTAATATGGATAGGTAAGCTCGTTAGTACAGGGCATATTCTTTGGATCATCCTCGAGCGAATCGTTTCATTCGAATTAAAGATGTGCTTCGAGGACGACAATAATTGCCCAGAGGGCGTATTCGTACGTACAATCGTTTGGCGGTCAGAGAATGGGAACGATGAAATTCTTGTCGGCATAAAAATGTCGGATAAAGATCAATTGCATATAAATTTTGTTTAACCTTGCAACATTTTAGTGCTAGGTCCTTGTTGACATGTTACCCTTACACAACTCACATTGGTATGGTTTTAATTTATATTTTGTTATAATACAAAAATCCACTTTAGATGCTGCAAAATCGTGGACCGGTAGACGCTTCAGTATGCGTTTAGCGCGCGATCGTGACGTGTGACTTTGTAACGTCAGGAAATCTAGTATGATAGTTCAATAATCGCCATGTTAAGAAGTGTCGGCGGACACGCGGGAAAGATCGAATTATCCCCACTTTTCGTTGTTGTTAACTGGCCCCACGCAGGAACCTCGAGGGTCCGTAGGGCCGGCCCTGCGTCGAGCTGACTCGAGTCGAGTCGACTCGACGCGACACGACGCGACGCGACTCGACGCAACTTGCGAGACGGTACGGCGAGAGGAAGAGGGCACGGTCGGTTTCGGGAGAACGAGCATCACAGAGAAGGACAGGAATCGCCGAAAAGAAACGAAAGAGAGGAAGATGGAAAAGCGGTGGAAGAAGGCAAAACGACTGGAACCCCGTGCGCGCTCGAGGAAGAAAGAAGACTCGAAGTCGAGTCGCGAATTGCAGAGCTTGCGCGCCGCGGACAAAGGGAATCTGCGGCTCCAGTCGTCTCTCTGCACACGCATACGCGAGCACACGCATACACACGCTTGCTTCGTGCAACCGTCCGCACGCATATGCACGCCACTGCAGAAACCGCGGGTACAGTCGACAGAGGAAGCGCGAATTCTCTTGTTTCCCCGCGTTCGACTTTGCCACTATACCTCCTACCCTTTTCTTCTCTTCGTTGCTTTTCGTCTGCTTCGCATCTATCGAAGAGAATAAAGAGACCACGGTCACGAACACCTATCGTACGACCTAAAGAACGTTGGTTACCATTCGTATACAGCCATTCGCTTCTCTAACCTCCTGCTCGCTCCAGGACAGAAGAAAATTATTAGTCACCCGTACCAACGACTCTCTTCGCGGTTTGGCCAAAGCCTAGAAAGCGGTACAGTCGCGAAAGTAACGTCTGATACTCGTACTTTATTTTGCGTCGATTAGTCGGTAAAACCGAATGATAATAAACAGTATTATCGCTGCTGAGAGTCATTGTTAATTTACAAGAACGGAATGTAATCTCGCTTGCGTTAGCTGCAAGCAGATATTGGTCAGATCCGATTAATCGTTGTTTAGTAACTCATTTGTAGCCGTAACTATTGATTCGATCTCTAGTTAAAACGTATAACCATATTCTCTCGCAGCAGTCACAACCACTTGCATCGATGATCACTTGTGTCGTATGCACTGCCAATATGCACCACGCACTACAGCTTTCGAAATTAAATTGCATTATGAATTGACTCTATCAATACGGTGTACCATTTGGTATGTGTTGCCTGTTTTTTCACAGAATCATACTTTTTTTTCGTACCTTTGTTTTCGATCCTTCTACGCGCTCGTATTTCTCTCTCGACTACTCGAAGAAGGGAGATACACCGATCGAGAACGAGGTCAGTAGAGAATACACACTATCCTTACCCCCGTGATGCTGAATGTTTCTTCCCTGATTACCGTATGTATAATTGGTAAAGGATACGTGCGTAAACATTTGTCGCAAGCTTTCGAATTTTTACCGATCCTCTGGCACGGTTCGACCGTTGATTGCATTTGGAAAGGGAGCATTATAAGAATTCTTTCGCGTTGTTTTCGTTCCAGTTAGATCAGACGGGGACACGTGCAGCCTGTGACCGTGAATATACGTATATACAGGGTGTCTCGAGATAAATGACATGGTTTCGCGAGTCATAACTGACGCAGATAACAGTACGGATAAATTAAAATGGAACACCCTGTATACGCAAGTACGTCCAGCTCGATGCACATGAGCGATATGTGTTTTCTTCGTAACGTCGTCGTCTTACCTCGCGTGTCAAGGACAACGAGTCGAAGGTCCGCGTGTGTCAGGACCTATTTATTGGCTTTTCTCCGAAAATGAAACGAAAATGCTTCTTGTATGTCCTTTCATAATCCACGACAAATTTGACGTACACTCTTTCCGATAAGCTGGTTAACGACGACGGCGGGAAGAAGCTAGATACGATTGATAGGAATGGTCGTGGAACTAGAAAAATGTCTTTGAAAAGAAATCGCGTTACAAGTTTACTCTCGGCCAGACCAGAATTACGTCCGTAACGAATGCTGGCAGCGAGATAGGAAACTCTGAACGAGGAGCACCAATCAGGGGCGTGAGCATCGTTGCGTGCCAACACGTTTTGCTTCACGGAGCGGGGTAAAAGGAAGGTAAAAAATGGCAAAATAACGAAACTCGAAGCATCGTTTGCGAGCGGTTCTCTCTGGGCATATTTCGCGCCAGAGGGTCAAAAGACGTTGACACACGGTGGGTCGTAAATATTCGATCGACTAGTTCGAATAGTCGTTACGCGAACAAACGGACACTCTGCGCCGTTTGGTAGAGAACGAGAAATAAATTACACTACACACGGACGGCAAAATCCAACTACACAAAAATGTAGTTCCTTTGTACGATCGTACGTTGCTCGTACGTGTTTCCGAATTTCTAAAAAATGTGAAACACCGGATGTCCCAGACGATTTTGTTCTTCGTGCGAAAATCATTTGAAAATCTGTCAGGTATGTCGGTCTATTTGACTAATAATCAATTACAAATTCTACGAATAACAGTGGGATCGATAACCAAAGTGATAATGGTTGAGTGCCACTGCAACGGCAGGTATGGTATGTAGTAGTAGTAGCTTGATTGCTGGACAATGGAATCTAACGAGACAGGGTTTGAAGACTGTCTTATTGATCTCGCGAAAGTGGAAAGCATAATAATGGAACTGTCCATTCATGATTTTGTAAAACATGGGCGTTCAACGATGAATAACTGTTAGATCGAAAAGTAATATCGGGTTCGCTATTCAAAACAAACGAAGCGATCGACTCGAGGTTTTTTGTTCGTTCGAAGAGATGCGGAAGCATTACTATAAAAATAAATGCAATTATTACCTTGCATTTATACGCGGAGCAAAGGAGAAAATTGTATTTATAAATGCAGTACACAACGCAAGTTTATTGTCCGATTTTAAACGGTTCGAATAGCCGGTCGATCTGTTCTATGATAGATAACGATGCAGCGGTGTGCACATAACGTACCAATGCATTTTAAGTACTCCAGGAAATTGTCCAGAAAGTAATCTGTTTTTTTCTTTACATATCCCTTTCGAAAATAAAACTGTACTTTATTTTATAGGAAATACGCGTAATCATTCCTTTGTTCTTGACCGAGGGCTTACGCGAGTTTACGTTTTGGTTGTTGCAAAATAGGTTAGAAACGCGAGGGAGGGCGCGCACGTTCGGCCCAGTAACTAAACGAATACCTTCGGCGAACGGTGGTGGTATCGCGATTGAAAGAAAATTAAAGTGCGCGAAAGGGAAAGTGGACATTTGAAACGCACACGACTCCTTTAGCCGTGAATGTACCGTTATTTATAGCGAGTACCGAAGGGAACTGAGAACAGGGAAGGGGAATACGAAGAGGAAAAGGAGGATTGCGCGCCTAAACTGTCCAAACGAGATCTCTGTGTTTACCACGTACGCCGAGGATCTGTGGCGCCATCTCGAGCATCACCGCGAGTCTGCGTTATCGATAACGGATTCAAAATGGCACACCAGAGAAGGATACCTATCGACCGGTAAAACAGAATAGCTGTATCGTGCGAGATTCGACGATGCCGAAGAAGTTAACTTCCGACGGATGTGCAGGAGTCGCGAAACTGGAGAACCGGCCGAGCGAGTTAATTCATTTTCGCTGTCGGTAAAAGTGTTTCCGAAAGTTCTCCTCCGTTGCGAGAGAATACGAAATAATGCGCAACGAAGAGAAAGTCACCGTCGTTTCTTCTTTCAACAGACAATAACGCGGTACACATACGAGCATTGTATTAGGTTGTCCAGAAAGTTCGTGCCATTTTTCTAAGAAATAACACACGTAAAACACGTACGAATTTTAACATATATTTATTAAATTACATAGGTGAAATTTTGTTCCACAACCTTTCCACCTTTTAAGGGATGTAGGCATGTTATTTGTTCTCAACTAGTTCGATATATTCAGACCTGTACCACCTACCAAAAATCGACATAGACTTTCCGGACAACCCAATAATTTGTAAGGCTTACCTGAAGCTCTGCTTGAGAGACGTCGATCTCACCCCTGTAGACGAACTCTATGATGAATTTCAGGTCGTTGAAACAAACGTCCTGTGGCATAATGATCGTCGGGTGCTTGCAAGGATTCGAAAGCAGAAGCTTCTGAAAGTAGGAACTGCACGCCGACAATACCACCTGCGCAAACAAAAGGAGGCATCGAACGAGAATTAAGTGGATCCCAGTCTAATACGATCGTGACTATGTCGACGCCGCGCTATGCAACGATTGGCTCACCTTGTGCGCCTTCAAGGAAGCTTCGTTGCATGCCAGGGTGACGTCCACGAAAGCTTCCGTCTGTAGGAGTTGATGAAAAACGGACGTCATGTTGGACTGGTAGTTGTTCCAGCGCAGGCAGTAGTGCTGCCCGGCCATGCCTCCGCTGCAACAGAAACACCAAGGAAACGCTCTTTCAGTTATCTTTCCAGTCTCTCCACGCTTCCTAGATTCCACGAAAAGTCATCGACGAGTTCGTTCCGCATCTCGCATTCACCCTACGCACGCATACACGCAACACCGTATCTTGATGACATTCCTCCTTCGAGATCGATCCGCGAAGCGGAATAGTACCTGTAGTGCACGCCCCAATAACGATCTGTCTCCATGAAATATTCTTTAGTGTTCGTTTTCATCACTGTTATGCCAAGATATCGGCGTCGAACGATACAGCATTTAAGCGAAGGCGGAGAAAGGAAGGCAGAGATCGGTGGAAGGTCTCCGACGAGACAACGGACTGGTAGAGATGGACAAACTACTTATCCGAATATTAAGATAATCAGCTTTGGATCAGTTGTCGGTTCGTCCAAGTTGTATATTTTTGGTCGGACGAACGAAGGAAGGATTAGAAACCGTTCGATCAACTAATTCCTCCAACGAAAACTTGACCATCTCCGAGGACTGGTCATGAAGAATACGGACACGAAACACAAAGTGACGTGGACGGAAGAAAAGTACTTGGCGAAATCGGTTAGGTGAGGTATTTCCGGTGAGGCAATGGGTAAGACAGAGACAGGCGCAATTTTGATCAGAATACAAAATTCGAGTAAGAAATATGAAGATATTCGGCTTTCGGTATTTTATTCGAGTAAAAGTTATAATCTGGATTATACAACGATACTATATTTACGTTGAACGAATGAAAGCTTATCCGAACAACTGTTCGATGAAACGAACGTCGTCTATTATTCGAATAAAATCTTGCCCATCTCTGCGGATTGAATATGGGAAGAAACGTGGACACGAAACACAAAGTACACGAAGAAGAAGAGTTTCGCACGAAATCAGGAAACACTTTCGCGGCAACGATGATCGACGACCGACACCAGGTTCTTCGAGTTCGCGATAAGGCGCGCGGGCGACGTTCGACTGGCCGGAAAGACGAAATCGAAAGGGAAGAGCGATAATCGAGCCGTGTTATTCGCGAACCGTAAGTCCGTTAATTTTTCGTTGAAAATTTACAGGTGAGAACGAACGTATCGTCACGAATCGACACCACAAAAGCAAACGAAGAAGTTCGGGCGTTGGTCTGTCTCGTAACATTCACCTGTTCTGTGGATCGTGCTTTATCTGTCTCTATCTATGTGACTCTTTATACAAGCCATTCCGTCGTTATCTATCCGTAAGAACACGGACTTTTATCAGTTGCTTAGACGTGTTCCGATAACGCAAGAACTTTAAGCTCTCGTCTCATCTCTTTTCGCTTCTCGTCCCGTTCGTCTCAGACTCTTTCGTTTTCGTTCTCGCTTCAGGCCGTTGTTTACGCGATGAAAATGTAAATACTAACGATTCTTTCGCTATCGAGTGCCAGGAAGGACGCCAAGGATTCTGTACAGGTATTCTATCCCCGAGGATTGCTTTGGTCAAGAGTATTTAACACTCAAAGGGTTGTTATTTATGGAGAACTGCTTCGAGTTTACCGTCCATACTCGCGCGGAGGTCGCAAACGAGCGAGGCGGCAAACGAGCGCACCTGGTGCATTTACCTGTCGGTTTTTGCCTGCAATTCGTTAACCGTATATTTTAACCGCGCGTGCGTACTTTCGTCCAGTTTCGTATTCCCGACGAGTCCAACGATACTGTGTATGGATACACGCGTTGTAATGTACGCGGCCCGATATCTAGAAATTGGGTTAACTGGTATACCGTTTCAAGACAAACTGATAATGCGCGATAACGGACGTAGAATGACGACCAATAGACGTTAGACGATCGATCGATTTCCTTCGTCGTTTTCCTTCTTCGTGAATCGCGTCACCGATACGCGAACAAAGCGATGGAAATCAACATGGTACTGGATAGGAATCGATAATGAATGTAAACTACTAATATGTGAAATATTCATCAGGTGTTTCTGGAAAAGTCCTGAGCAGCGCTGGAACCTGAGTCAAAAAGAAGAGCGGGCTGTCGATACATCGGAGAGCTTCGCGTTGATCGATTGTACCGCTATCGCCAACCCGATCGAATCGATCGATACGCTTTCTCGACGGTCGATCTTTTGCGCGTGCGCGAGTTTGCCGGTCTCGAAACAGTTTTACGCGGTTTCTCTAGAATTGTGTAGAGGCTGTTTCAAAGTTAAGCTGTTGAATTAGGTTTGCTTATGTCGTTTGGAAAGAGTTCATTTCCCACGTGTTTTGGAAAGAATATCTTTATTTCATTACGTAACACGACAACGAAACATTTTTTGTTGTTATATTTCTATTCGCAGAATACACTGTTCGATCGTTTGATTCTGGAATGCGCTGTAGAAATCATTTAACTATTTTCACAGATACTTTCACTGATATCGAAGAGCAAAACAACCACACGCACGCCGCGCCACAACGACTACAACGCACGCAAGGAATTTACCAAAGATGAGTAAGATTTGATTCAAATAATGGATAACGAAGATTACTCGATTGCACGACGAGACTTTTATTCGTTTGTTTCGAATTCAAATTTCGATCAATTTCGATATTTCTTTTTCCATGCAAAAGTTGTACTCATCTTTTGGATCCATGAATTGGACGAGTGAAGGAAAAAGCGCGCGAAACATATGTGAAACGTTGACCGTGAAAGAGTGGGGCGACTGTAAACTACTTTGGAGCGCGTGACGTTAAACGAGCAGCGAGGCAACCGTGGACGCGAAAACAAGCGTACGTGAGGGACCGAATGACGTACGAGCGTAATGTAATGATCTGAGATATAGCCACCATTGATCGGAACGATGTATAACAGCGGCGTCCAAAATCTTTTAAGAATGGAGTCGAAGTAATTACAAACACTTCCTTGTTTTTCCGAAGAATCCCTCTCAAGTAAAAACGTGCTATTTAAAAGTCATACGAACGAAAAAAAGTAAGTGCGATTTTTCTATCTGGAATGTCGAGTCGTTTCACTCTGTGGCCAGTAACGTTCACTTACATTACGCGTTCGTGTCGAGAGGCGTCGAATCCCTAATGAGCCTAGATGACCGCTAGCGCGTAAGTATATCGGGCGAGCGCGTTTGGAAATCGGCAAGAAATATCGCATCAACGGACGACGCTCATCCCTCGAAAGCGACGTTCACGCTTTCTTTCGCGGCCTCGAAGAAGGACACTGCGTTGGTCTCTCCCTTTCAGAGAATCCTCCCTTCCCCGACGTTCCCTTCCACGATTCATCTCAATTTTTCTTCGAGCTTTTTGTGTCCAATTTCACCTCGCCTCCCTCGGATCCCATCCTCTTTCTTTTTCCCGTCTGTCTCTCTGCCATTCGTGGAGTAGACGAGCGCGCCTGCCGCGCACCTCCCCCTTCATCTACCCCCTGGTATCGTTCTCGTTCCATCTTCTTCTTTTCTTTTCTCCCGCCCTCTTTGTCCCTCGGTCGTTTCATCGTTTCTTTCTCGACCCTCCGACGTCTCCCGTTCCCTCTTTCTCCGCGCGTTGGCTCCATTTACTCGTTCCCTCGTTCCCTCCCTACGACGAAGACGCTATTTTCTCGTGGCCCCCTTTTCTTCCACGGTCTCCGCCACCACCCTTCTCTCTTTTTCTCCTCTCCCGTAGTCTCATCCTCCTCTTTCCTCTCCACTCATCTCTGCTACGCCCTTCTCTCGCTCGATGGGAAGCTGTGCGCTACCCTCTCTCTCTCTCTCTCTCTCTCTCTCTCTCTCTCCGTCCTCTCTTCCACTCCCTATACTACGCGCGTTTCCTTCTCCTTGCCGGTGCGCGTTTTACGTTTTTCCAACGTTATCGACGTTCTTCCTCGACTCTTCCCGGACTTTTTCCTTTCGTCGTACCGTCCTCGAGACGACCAACCAGCTCTTTCTCCGGGAAAACGTAAGCGGAAACGACTTTCCCCTCCTCCTCGCCTTGTGCCCGTTTCCATCGCAGATCCGCGTTTCCAAGGAACCAGCTCTGAAATCTTCCAGAAACTGTTTTCTCCGGTTCGTTTCTGTGTTCGTGTTTCTTCCGTATAGATGTTGGATGATAAAACGCGGGACTAATCAAATTTGCATCGCTACCGGGCCGGGCTTTACATAAACTAGCGTCGACCTTTGCCTTCGCAGTGGCTACCGATCCTCGAGCCGTTTTTGAAACGGACCGACGATCCTTTCTGAACAACGTTGCGACTGCAAACCAAATCTCGATGCGGTCATTTCTTTATATTACACGTTTAACTTTTCGTTCCGATGTGAAACGCTCTCGTCTACTTTAGCATCTTGTTTGTTTTCTGTATTTCATCCGTTTGTTTCATTTGTGGCGCGACGCCAACGGTGTCGATCCATTTAATCGTCATAACCAAACTGACCTGCGGTTGTCGTGGAACGGAGAACGGGTGAAACGGTAATGTTTTTCGTCCATGCTTCTTTCGACCGTTCTCTCCGGAGTAATTGTAATTATCTGACCTGTGCTCGTATTCCGATCGGATTACTTGACACAATGTCTGAGCAAGGTACGTAGCATCTATTTTTATCGGGAATAAGAGACCGTATGCGAGGAAGTCGCGTTAAACAAAATGTGGCTTCGAGGGACAGGAGGATACGGAGAAGAATAATACAGCAAGAGGTTCGTTTCGATTCGTATCCGCGGCGGTACCAACCTGTCCTTTAGAGATGAACGTTTCAACGACGCTTTCTATCGACTCTCTCTGCAAGTACACGCTCCGTCATCGAAACGACGTCGATATCGATTTACGGTAATACACTGACGTTTTTCGTATCCCGTGAGATTGAAAGTAATCGATAACACCGCTCCGTCGAGGCATCCTTGAACCGATCGTAGACGCGAACAACGGTTCTATCGATGTAATGATAACGAAATATCGGAGGGAAATATGACTGCGCGCAGCCTGTTCGTAAAGACGTTGGCGTCCAGCGAGGATATTTTTCTAATCGGACTGAGAGGACGTAACGGTTTAGACAACAGAAAAA